CCCCAAAACCCCAAAACCCCAAAACCCCAAAACCCCAAAAATAAATATATATTTGATAAAATGAGCATAAAGCGAATTAAGAGCCGCCATAAGAGCATTGTTATGGCTAGACTAGCGAATCAAGAGAAAATGATACAAGCGTATACTGGCAGGAGTCCTAGCCCATCAGCCGTTAACAATTCTGGGCTGCGTCCAAAATCATACATAGAAATTACAGATAATCAAGATGTTTCCTTTGATACTATTGCTCGAGCCAAAAATGACTACTCTCCTATGCTACCTTCTATTAGTCCCACCTCCTCCAAAGTTAAGGTAAATTTCTTAAAAAGAAACATGAGTATTGCCAACCAAGTGGTCAGAAGCTATAGAAGTTTTAGCAGGAGGCATGCATACAACCTGAAGTATGAAGTGACAGATGGAAGTGAGAACAATGACTACGATCTACAAAAGGATAGTTCCTCCACAAATGCAGCTTCTAGTCCCAAACCAAAAAGACATAAAGTTCAGCCTTTGATGTCCCGGACTTCTAAAAGCGTAGTACCAGAAAGAGTCATTCAAGTTAAACCCATTGAAGGCCGAGAAATGCTAGAATCAATAGCAGAAACTAAAGAAACTGAGAAGAAATTAATCGATATGAAGAATAGAGTAGGAAAGCTCTTAAAGGAACGAGAGAAAGCTCTCTCGAACATCCGTTTGGCTAAGAACCGAGTAAATTACATTGGTAAAATCAATGTTTCCAAAGACAGAGATAAAAGCGCGAAATATAGATTCAGACAAATGATGAATCTTAAAATACAAGAGCAGAAGCAAGAAATTGCTCGCAGAAGAAGACAAATGAAGGAAAACATAGCTAACTCTAAAAAGCAAAAGATTGAAGAGAACCGGTAAGCTTTTCCATTAAAATTGTTCTGGAATTCTATCATACTAATCTTCCAATAGATTCTTGAAAAATAGGGAAAAGCAAACTAAAGTTGAAAAGGCTATGGAAGCCCAACAAAAAGCACTAGAAGATATGCAAAGAGTTAGAAAGCTTAAGAGCCAAGTTATATCTCATAAGAAAAATAAAAGTAATTTTCTAACTCAGCTTAACAATTCCAAAAATGATATGAACCAGATCAGATATCATCTCAAAAATGAGAAGCTAGCAGCCACTAGAGGAACTCATCAGGAGCAGATAGATCAGCTTAAGATGGAGGAACAAAAGTTACTCCAAGAACTTGAGAAAACCATGCAAAAGCAAGAAGCTGTTGAATCAGAAGCTAATTCTCCTTCAAGACTTAGAAGAGCTCCCTCCCTGAATATTGATGCTAAATTTGCAATGTTTAAGGGAAAGGTTAAGGACCCAAACCAGATGAGAGCTCAGCTCCAACTGAGAGATTCACAAGGAAGTTTTTATAGTAAAGAAAGTGCTGAAAATGAAGTATCAATCAAGTTATGTAAGGATGAATAATTCTATTAAAGCCAGTACTAGCATTAAAAGAAAGTACCAGCAATAATCTCAACATAAGATTTGCTAAAAGGGGTTTTGGGGTTTTGGGGTTTTGGGGG